AGGGAACATGAATCAAATATGTATCTTTATTCATTTACAATAAACTCATTAAGTACATCATTCTGATTGAAGCTAAGGGCATACAAAACTGTCTAACATTATCTGTCTCTATCAAGGTTAGGATGGAGGTTGATTTTTCTCTATGACATGATTAGAGTTAGAGATGGGAAATTAATAATTAGGGTCAGAAATGGAGAATATGATCTGCACCTAGAACTTGCCTCATTGCCATAGGCTATTCAAATTCTTTTCTTTATATACTCTTAATATGTGGGCATATTTGGTTCTATCTGGTATGATTGCTGTTTCTACTTAAAATGTTTTGGGTTGATTAATAAAAATTTGTGTAGAGGTATTTTTACAACATGAAACATTTTAGGTTGATAATGCATGGATTCTCGTTTGGATTGAAAATTGTGAATGGTCTATGCGTGAATCTCAGCATAACGATTATGAATTTATGATTGGGACCATAGAAAGGGTAAGCCCAACTTTGTCTTCTATTGATCCAATCCTTTTCATGGGTTCTTTTTTGAAAGGTATATGGGTATTCATTTCTATGGACTACTAAGGCTGCATTTGGCATTCTTTATTTTAAGGATTTATCTCTTTTTTATAGTTAAAAATTTATTATTTATATAAGCATTTTAACTATAAAAAATAAATAAATCTTTAATGTAAAGAATGCCAAATGCAGTCTAAGTCAACAACCCTTATTGAATGGACTGTACGCACTATGGTCAAGGCCGCCCTTATCCGCTGATTGAATTTGACTATTCAATCCAAATCTCATTTTCCTTATTTAGACTTTAGACCGATCCGGTTCGATAACATAGACATTAGATACATGCAATTTGGACTTTGGAGTGGGTATGGGTGTCATTCCTAGATGTAATTTATCTCAAAACCCGACTCAAATGTGCAAATAGGTTTGGACCGGCCGACTTGCTACAGATCTGACGTTTCATAATCTACCCTACCTTTTCTCCTGCTTCGTGGGCCTCGGGCTTTTCAAATTGCTGAATCTGTTGTGCCAGTTGAATTGTGATCTTCCGAAAATAGGGCCAAGTCATTGTATATTGGGCTGTGATAGGATCCCGATGATCTTCTAAAAATAGGTCACATCCTACCATCTATTGGGAATATCATTATAAATATGGGAGATATTCTTGATGAACAGCTGGAACATGCTGTAATGTTGGTGTGAGGAACACTTTATGAAGAACAGATCAGAATTGTATTAGGCCTCCAATACTTGCCACTTGTAAAGGTGGGATAGAAAATTCATGGCTTATTGTTGTTGACAGAGAGGTTGATTGGGAAGGGAGGGCACGCAGAAGTGTACAAAGGGTGCCTGCCCGATGGTCAGCTTGTAGCGGTGAAGCGGCTCATAAAGAAAGAGGAGGAACTGTTTGGGGATTTCTTGTCGGAGCTTGGAATTATAGCCCACATTGATCACCCAAATGCAGCTCGTTTGGTTGGGTTTGGCGTGGAAGGAGGCCTGCATCTTGTCCTCCAGTTCTCTCCACATGGCAGCCTTGCTTCGGTGCTCCACGGTGATGTATCTCTCACTCCATGCGTCTTTCTCTTTCCATATCCTATTCATCATCGTTTCGGGTACAAACTGTCCTTGGGTCGGGTCTACCCAACAGAACCCAATCCACCGAACTGATTATACTAGTTATGGTTCTTTAGTTTTGTCCCAATTAGACTTGTTCATGGGTTGGGTTCGGGCCGGGCTTTGTATATATCAACAGAATACATTCTGGCCTGAGCCCAAGCTCAGCCCCACCATCCATCGGGCCTAAGTCTTGAGCCCGAAGCTTGGGCCCGAGCCAGAGCCCAGTCAGAAATTTGAAAACAGAATTTTTTTTATTCAATAAAAAAGTGTTTTACTTATATTAAAATCCTTTAAAACTCAAAAATAATAAAGTAATAAACATTTCACTATTACTTGGAAAAAAAAAGAGAAGAAGAACAAAGAAAAAATATTATATATATTTTTTATTAAATAAAATATATTTTATTATTTAATATATAGTATCAAGTCAGGCTCGGGCTCGGGCTGAGCTTTTTTGAGAAAATCTGAGCCCGGCCTGAAAAAAAATCAGGTCCAATGCTTTAGGCCCAAGCCTGAACCCACGGGCGTAAAATTATAACTAAGCCCGACTTAATAATGGGCCGGTCCAGGCCAGTCCGTCTGACTACCTGGCCCATAAACAGGTCTAATCCTAATTAATAATTGGGCCAGAACTGATTCTTATTTTTTCAAACAGATTATATAGTTAATAATATATAAAACGGTTTGCTGTTTTTTTGTAATTTTTGTTATATTTTGGCTGAAAGGGTAAATTTAATAGATAGTACATAGGATAGTTTTGGTTTAAAACACCTTTTACCAATATAATATAATTTTTTTAATTAAGACTATATTATCAAAAATAAAGTTCCAGATTGTTATTATCATAGATAATTATATATCTCAAATATAATCGGGTCAGAATTGATTATCCCGATCAATACAATGGAATGATTCTGATCTGAGTTTGTCATATGAAACCAATTACTAATTTGGTTCGGGACTGATACATATTGTCCCGAACCAGACCCGACCCATTGACTGCTCTCACCAGTTCTTTGCCTATCACGGTCATGATAATATTGCCCTTGGAGTATGGACCAATCTAGATCTTAGGTAAGTGTGTATATTGGGCCATTTTTAGTGGGCTCCTAATGGGTTTCAATTAGTGGGACCCAATTGGTACCCATTTTTAAGAGGTCCAAGAGATTGGGCCACCTTGGGAATTAGCAATTAATGGGTCCACATCTTTTCAACTTTTAGTGATGAACAGAATTCGCCCATTTTTACAGGCTCAGAAGAGAATTTGGACTGGGGAGTGAGATTCAAGGTGGCTATAGGGATAGCGGAAGGACTAAATTATCTCCATCGTGGCTGTAATAGACGTATGATTCACAGAGATATCAAAGCCTCTAATATATTACTAACCCAAGACTATGAACCTCAGGTATATATTAATTACTCACATGCTTACACAATCTTATTGGATCTATCTTTCCATTGTTTTAGATTACCTGATGCAGTTTATGCCTTCTGCTTTGAATACAGATCTCTGATTTCGGTCTCGCGAAGTGGCTCCCAGAACAGTGGACACACCACGTTGTCTTTCCCATAGAAGGCACATTTGGGTGAGGCCATCTATTCATTCTAATGTTTTAAAAAAATTATTTGAAATTGAAATCGTTTTGGTCACCAGTTTTTGTGTTGACAGTTTTATCATTCAGTTTAAACGGATGGTTCGTTCTAATAAAAAAAAAGTAAAATTTTAAAAATAATTTAAATAAAAAATAGCTAAAAAACTGTTGAACAGGTCAATGGTTCTTTCATCCGGGTCAACAAGTTGTTTGACTGATTCAACAGTTTTTAGCTAGGGACTAGGTTTGGGGTAAAACGAACCAATTGCCTGGATGGTTCTCAGGTTGAATGGTCCGACTATCCAGGTCAACGGCGGTTCAAAAACCATGGTTCATTCTCTAAATATGCATTACTTGAATTGTGTTTGGTATGATTGTTACTTCTACTTGCAATGCTTTAGGTTGGCCAATACAAATTTTTGGGAAATTATATTGTCATATCACATAAGATAACTACTACTACTAGAAAAGATATAGGAATTGGATCTGATGTTGACATTTATAATAGAAAACATCATATATGAGTTTCCTGAAAAAACAACAATGGTACAACATGTTGTATTGATAACTCAAAGCATAGAGGTGTAAAACGGGTGCGGCCTGTAGGCCGTTGTGGGCCGTGCCACCCTCCCCTAGGATAACTTGGGGGTCAGCCCGGCACGGCTCACGGCCCAAGCCCATGCAGGCCTATGCCGTGTCATGCTGTGCCACGGGCCAGGTTGGACCGTGGACTGAGACAAAGCTATTTATTTAAAAAAATTGAAAAAAAACATAAAATTTTAATTTTATATGAAGTTTGATGTATATAATTGCTTATATATACAATAATGAAATAAATTAGTATAATAAAATTAAAAGCAATTGTTTATTTTATTAATATATTATATACTAAATTATTATATAATTATAATTTATATAATATATTATATATAAAAAATATATAAATATATATAAATAATATATATAGGTCATGCCACGAGAGGCCTGGCCTACGGACCTAAAACCCCATGCCCGACACAGTATGACCCGATTTACACCTCTATCAAAGCATTTGTGGTAGAAAAAAAATTATTATAAAATTTGTATTAACCAACCTAATTTTGACTTCTAAAAACATGTTGCGCTTTGTGCAAGATATATGTCACCGGAATACTTCATGCACGGCATCGTTGATGAGAAAACAGATGTTTTTGCCTTTGGCGTGTTACTACTGGAGCTGATAACTGGTCGACGTGCGGTTGATTCTTCTCGCCAGAGCCTTGTGATGTGGGTATGATTCAATCAAGAAGAAAACCTCTTTTTTTTTTTTTATTTGGCATCTCTTCATTCTTTGGGATTGAACTATATGTTGTGGTTCCGGAGTCCGGATCACTTGACAATAAAACACATTCCAATACCCTATTAATACAATCTAACAACACACATCTCATACATGGGGTTCTAGTTTTATGGTGGGCCCCAGTCTCATGGTGAGATGTGCGGTACTGGATGATGTTGGTAGGTTGGAACATGTTTTGTTGATAGGGGATCCCAATTCAGCAAATTCCAGGTTGCATTAGGAACACTTTCGAATGAAGATAGCTTTAGTAGCTTCTTCAACCCTTCCAAGTGGGCTCTTATTTAATGTTTTTTTCTTTCATCTTAAAAGCTAAATATAAAAAAAAAAAACCAATGAAAGCAGGGGATAATCTGCTATATATATAATAAAATTGAACGATCCATGTTAGTAGACATCTCCTTTTAGCAAAGTTATTTATCTATTTTCTTCTTTTTTTTTGCGTTTTTTTTTTCCTTTTCAATTACCCTTTGTGAGTTGTTTGATTTTCTCATGTCTAACGAGTCATGCAAATTAATGTTTTGTCTTCCAAAACAATGCATGAAAGAGGGTGGCTATTTTGTTTTAAAGAGGTGTCTTCCAGCAACATTAAAGAGAAAAGGCCACCATTGAAAACCTCCCATCTATATTAAACTTTCAAAAATTTCTTGCAATATGCTTTTTCACAAGGTTTTTAAAATTGATCCGGACAACGAACCGGTCAGGGGTCTGGTTCTCGGGTCAAATGGTGCGATCGTTCGAACGGAACGGTTGGCCTATTCTGCCAAAAAAATTAAAAATTAAAAATTTAAAAAATTAAAAAAATAAAAAAGGTCAAAACCGTTGAACGGTTCGAATGATTTGAACGATTCAACAATCTAGGTCAATGGTTTTTTGGCAAAATTCCAGTTTTCAGAAAAACCAGAAACCAATCACCTCCGATCCAATTTTGAAAACCATGCACTAAGAGTCCCAACATCTCAGTATCCCATTGTGGTATGCAAGTTTTGTTTTCTAATGCCTATATCCCAGCTTTTGAGCACAGTTCAAAAATGTCTCTTGGAGGGACATTTATATTCCAAAACTCTTTATCATGGCTGCAAAACATTACAAGTATCGAGTCATGTTAGAATTCTTGAAAACAATCAAATCTAAAACCACTGTATAAGAAGTTAAAGAGTTATTAAGTTTATTAGGTTTCCAACATTTCTCATGCTAGCATTTTAGCATGGCGCAGGAGAAATCGAAACGTTTCAATGATTTGTTTACTCTGTTTGTGTGTATAAAATCACTATTTTGATAAGCATAATCCCCTATTCTTTATCGTTCTGTTATTTACCTTTTTTTTGCTTGGTTAGCATTCTCTTATTGGATAACTTTACCAATATGAAAAAAAAAAAAAACAGATTCTTTATTTTTTAAAAGCATATCACATTCTTTAACTTCATAATAATAATAATAATAATAATAATAATAATAATAATAATAATAATAATAATAATAATAATAATAATAATAATAATAATAATAATAATAAT